GCCTGACACCTTTTGTTATGTATGCGGCTTATTTACAGTGTCTGGTCAGCGGCGTAAAATTACAGCGAACTTGTCAAAAATCTACAAATTGTACTTTGGATGTCCGCTAGGTGATCAAGATAAAACATGGGCTCCACATATTATTTGCACAAGCTGTTCTAGTGGATTGCGTGACTGGCTTCACAAACGAAAAACTGCATTTTCATTTGCCATACCCATGGTATGGAGGGAGCCAAAGGATCATGTAACTGATTGTTATTTTTGCATTGTTAATACAACTGGATTTTCATCGAAAAATAGGCACAAAATCGTTTATCCAGATTTGGATTCGGCAATGAGGCCAGTTCCACATTACCCCTCATTACCAGTTCCAATGCCTCCAATAGATGGTTTAGATTTTGTTGAAGATGAGATGGAAGTGGACTCTTGTGATGAACATCAAGATATTGCCGATCTTGACTATTCACCTGATGTCGAAAAAACGCCAGAAGTATTCACTCAAGAAGAACTAAATGATTTGGTCCGAGACTTAATCTTATCAAAGGAAAAAGCAGAACTTTTGGGGTCACGACTTAAACAAAAAAATTTGCTTGCAACAAACGTTAAAGTGTGCCACTATCGAAAGCGTAATCTTCAATTAGCTACATTTTTTACTGTTGATGGCTCATTGTGCTATTGCAATGACATCAGTGGACTGTTTGAAAGTTTATCACAGCCGCATGAACCTTCTGAATGGCGTTTGTTCATTGATTCGTCAAAGCAAAGCTTGAAAGCTGTGTTGTTGCATAAGGGAAATCAAAAGCATTGCATACCAATTGCTCATTCTGATCATCTGAGTGAGACGCATGAAAACATGAAAATTCTCCTTGAGGCAATAAACTACAAAACTCATCAATGGAATATCTGTGGTGATCTAAAAGTCATTGGCATGCTGATGGGCATGCAAATGGGTTTCACAAAATTCTGCTGTTTCTTGTGTTTGTGGGACAGTCGCGCTGTAACAGAACATTACGTGAAACGAGATTGGGACCAAAGGAATGAGTATGAACCAGGAAGAAATAGTGTTGAAAATATTCCTTTGGTCGATCCACAAAAGATTTTTTTACCTCCTCTACATATCAAACTAGGCTTGATGAAGAACTTTGTAAAAGCAATGGGGAAATCCAATTCAGCTGGATTTTAATACTTGGTGGAAAAATTTCCAAAAATGAGTGCAGCAAAGTTGAAAGAAGGAGTTTTTGTCGGACCTCAAATTAGAGAGGTTTTACGAGATATTAATTTCAAAAATTCTCTCACAGATGAAAAAAAGGAAGCTTGGCAAGCCTTTACTTGGGTTTGTGCTAACTTTCTTGGTAACCACAAGTCACCTGAATATGAAGCAGGCATTCAAGAGCTGCTCGATTCACATCAAAAAATGGGATGTTGCATGTCTTTGAAGTTGCACTTTTTACATTCCCATCTGAAATTTTTTCCTGAAAATCTGGGTGCAATGAGTGATGAACAAGGTGAACGATCTCATCAAGATATTCAACTGATAGAAAATCGCTATCAAGGGTTTTGGAATGAAAGCATGATGGGTGATTACTGCTGGATGCTTTATCGTGACAACCCAGACAAAGTCTTTAAAAGAAAGTCATATTCACGGCGATTTTGAGCAAATGTTGTGATAATTGTAGTGAGTAAAACATTGTATATGTTAATACTGACTTAAATTGTTGACGATTGTACGAATCTAAGATAGTAATAGGGTAGGAGATGCAAATTCATACAACACAACTTAAGGCAAATGTCTTAATTTCCCTGAGATTTGCAAAATAAGAGGGGCCCTTATCTCAAAATGTGTACGTGATAGAGAAAAACTAAATAGATATTTGGAATCAGAGTGAAAAGTTTATCCAGAAAAAAATATTTTTATTCATAATGAGAACAAAAAGTTCCATTTTGTTGACCAGTGTAATATGAATTTAACAAAAAGAGTAGATGATTTAGAAATGAATAAATTAAGTACCAGTCATATAAATAACAATGTAACGTGGGCAAACATGGTAAAAAGGTCACCGGAACAAATGCTTATGATAAACTCCGTTACTAGTGAGACAAAAGAACGAGAAAGAAGAGAAAACAATGTAGTTATTTTCGGAATTAAACCATCGGAAAACGAAGAAAAGAGTAAAGAGAAAGAAGAAAATAGACGAGCTATAATTAATGTTTTTAAAAAAATTGCAAGTAACCGTTAATGTTCAAAGTTTTATGAAACTAAAACCAAGAAACACCAATAATCTAGCCCCATTTGTTGTCATACTGAAAGATAAAAGAGAAAGGAACTCTATCTTAAAAAAGCCAAAGAATTACGAGATTCGAAAGAATATGAGAATGTCTATATAAATCCAGATTTAACGGAAAGTGAAAGGTTTAAATCAAAGTTTTTAAGAGAAGAATGCAGAAAGAAATTCACATGTAAATGTATTAGGAAATGCTGTGTTTAAATTTAAGGGTGGACTAACATCAATACCTAGCCTCAAAAAATCACAACAGCCCACACAAAAATCACATCAAACTTTGGTACACCAATGCAACTTCACTTAATAATAAAATGCAACAACTTAAAGCGTACTTGTCCTGTGATAAACCAGATATTATAATAGTAATTGAAATATGGTTCAATGATAAATCAGTTATCAATATTGATGGGTACAACTGCTACAACAAAAACAGACCGTTTGGTGAAAATGGTGGGGGAGTAGTAACTTATGCAAAATCAACATTTATTACAACAAGTGTAAGTCATTTAGCATTATGTGACAATGGAATAAAGCAGATATGGTGTAGTTTGACCAACGGACCAGACCATTTATTAATTGAATGTATTTACAGACCGCCAAGTAGTCCTGAAAGCGTAAGCACTAAAATCAATTCAGTCCTTGGAATAGCCAAAAGTCTAGTAGACCAAAAAAAATATACCGGATTAATTATAAGTGGGGATTTTAATTATCCACACATAAAATGGTACAAAGATGGTGGAACAAAACTGAAACAAAACTGTTATTGAACAATGTATTTTTGGATCAACATTTCAAATATCCGACGATGAACAAACACACTTGATTTACTACTGACAGATAATTGCAAAGGATTTGAGACGTAGAAATAGGCGCACCACTTGGACCAATTGAAAAAGCACATTATGTAATTCAATTCAAATATGACATGCAAGGTGCTGACACAATCCCTATACAATGCAATAGTAAAGATATAAATTACCAAAAAGGAGACTATGAAAAAATAAATCTTGGTTTTCATTTAATAAATTGGTATGAATTATTCAAGGATTTAAACGTGGACCATTGCTAAAGTGCTTTCGTAAAAAAATATAATGAGTTGATTGAATTAAATATTCCAAAGAAAAGAGCCAGGTTTGATCAAAAAGTTAAAAAAGACCCATGCATAACAGTCGAAGTTAAAGCTTTAATACGTAAAAAGAAAAATTTATGGAACCAATTAAGAGCTGGTAAATTTAAATATCTTAATAAATTAAATGAGTACAAAGCAGTAAAAAAATTAGTCAAAAGCAAGTTAAAAGAATCCACTATTGATTATGAGAAAAAACTTATAAATAATGCAAAAAAAAAATCCGAGACTATTCTACAAATACGCGAAAAAGAACCAAAAAAACATCGGTAAAATACAATCAACGAAAAACTATGCAAATGTACTCACATCTGACAGGCATGAGATTGTTAATATATTGAACAAAAGTTTTCAATCCGTTTTTGTTAAAGAGCATGGTGAAATTCCGGAGTTTGTACCACGTATTTTAAAACCTTTTGAATGGGATTGGAAAAATATTGTTACAAATGAGGCAGTTCAGCAAAAACTGTATTCTTTGGACGTCAACAAAGCATGTGGTAGTAATGGTATTAGTCCTTACGTACTTAAAAAATGTTCAAGTAGTGTAGCAACTCCATTAGCTTTAATTTACCGAAAATCAATTGAAACATGAAAAATTCCTAGCAAATGGAAAGAAGCAAATATTACTCCAATATTCAAGAATGGAAATACAACAGACCCGCTTAACTACAGACCCGTATCATTAACATCTGTACCATGCAAAGTTATGGAAGCATTCATAAAAGAAGCGATAATGACTCATCTGATGGAAAATAAATTGCTATCAAAAAATCAACATGGCTTCATAAAAAATAAAGCCTGAGTAACAAATTTGCTAGAAACATTAGACATTTTAACAGCAAGCATGAGTGACAGTTTAGCGGTAGATATGATTTATATGGATTTTGCCAAAGCCTTTGATAAGGTTCCACATAAAAGACGTGAAAAGTGTGAAGCATATGGTATCAAGGGTGTAATAAATGACTGGATATCGTCTTTTTTAAAAGAAAGAAGGCAAAGAGTTGTGATGGATGTAGACGTGTCTCCATGGCTTGAGATTTTTAGTGGTGTGCCTCAAGGTTCTGTGCTTGGTCCTTTGTTATTCTTGATATTCGTAAATGATCAACCATCAATTATTAATTCCAATTGCAAATTATATGCAGATGACAGTAAACTTATCAAAGTTATAAAAAATGTTGAAGATCATGAGTCTTTGCAGAATGACATTAACGAATTTGTAAAATGGACGGATATCTGGTTGACAAAGTTGAACATCGAAAAGTGCAAGGTGATGCATTTAGGTAAAAAGAATCCTCGAATGAGTTATTGTATGACCCACGACGGCAAAGAGTATAAATTAAAAACAACAGCAAGTGAAAGAGATTTAGGAATGATTATTTCATCCAACCTTAAAACGTACGTTTACATACTTCGATGTGGAAATGGTGAAATCACTATATACGACATTTGTGAGACCGCTTCTTGAGTTCGCTATACCTGCATGGCAGCCTTATTTACAACGGGATATTGATGAGTTAGAGAAAGTGCTAAGAAGAGCAACGAGGTTAGTTCCACAACTTAAAAAGATTTCATATGAAAAAAGACTGAAAGCAATGGGTTTAACAACATTAGAGAAAAGACGAGCTAGAGGAGATCTTATACAACAATACAGATTCAAGCAAAATATAGACCAAATAAATTGGTCCAACAAAAATCCAAAACCGGCATCATCCGTGACTAGTTCAGGCCCGGCTTTTTCTGTAAGGGGCAATAAATATAGGCTAGAAAGAGAATACGTACCATCATGTTTACTGAGATATAATTTCTTTACCAATCGAGTTTGTAAAAATTGGAATTTGTTACCAAATGAAATCATTGAAGCAACATCGTTGAATGATTTCAAAGCGCGAATAGATAAACATTTTTCATAACTTGTGTTTTTTAATTTGTGTGGGCTGTCTATAACCCGATGCTTGCATCGCGTTCCACAATTTATTTTATTTTTAAATATTTATGTTTAAACAAATTTGTAATTGTTACAGCAATAAATATTACGATTACTTACTATTACTACTATCAATTTTCAATCGATTAGCTTTTTACCAGATCAAGATATTTTTTGATGTTTTGAAATACAGCCGTATTTGTTCTTTTTTCCGCCATTATGGATTTTTAATAAGTTTTAAAATTTATCTTTTTATATAAAAATAATTTTAAAACTATATTAAAACAAGTTTTCATCAAATGGATATATTTTATATAATATTTTACAGTTTCATTTTCCCTCTGGTGTACCACCTTAACAAACTTATGACGAAAAAAAAGCGTACTTTATAGACGACCCCTTAGTTTAGTAAAGACATTTGTTCAAACTTGTGCTAGGGTTTGTTAAGCCTTTTAAAAATATTCTCTAACTTGATTTATTTCTACACACAACTCTTTTATAGTTTTTCCGGAGTTACTATTGTCTACTGACATTATAGATAAAATACTTTTAATACAGTCCAGGATATGTTTGCAAAGATTAAAAAAGTGAAGGCCTGAGTATTAATTTCTGAAAAACACCCCACAAAGAAGAAAAGGGTTTGTTAGCTCAATATCATACAGATTGCATGCGTGTGCATCAGTACAGCGAAACTCAGACTAATACAGATCTTTAAAAAATTCCTAAAAAAAAAGAAAGACAATAGAAAACTTTTTAATTGAAAATTTGTTCATAATTTAGTAATGAACAACTCTAATTAGCATAACCAATACTAGCTATTATCTGGAGATCTAGGAGGCCAGATTTCTTTAAGCCAATGCGAAATATTCTCTTAGAGTTGTGTGAACGAGTTTTATGTGACTGTGTGCACCATCCTGCATGAAACAAAATTGCCACTACACTTAAAGTTGTCACATATCAAGAGTTTAAGAGCTTGATCTAAATGATCTTTTGCACTCATTCTGAACAAGTAGGATTGAAAGATGTTCTGCTGTTTGAGATTTGCTGCCGCATGGAGAATGTAATAAAAGGATGAATGGGAGTTTTTTTACAGAACTAACATAAAACAATTTCATTTCTAGTTCTTATTAATGACTGATATATTTATATTTTCTAATTTCTAAGGCCGTTTTAATAATGATTTTTTTAATACGGTACAGTAATTTCCAAGATGCCAATCCTTCACTGTTTCGCGCGCGTACACACACATAAAAAAAAAACTACTAGCAAAATGTATGTTTATTATGCTAAAGAAGTTAGGAACTGTTACAAAAATGTAAAAATACAAATGATTTAACTAAAAAAATATATATCTATATATTCAAAGGTATATTGAAAAACATGAAAAGATATATAAAACACTTTATAAACATCCAATTCAACGTAAAATAAAAACAGATAACGCTTTAATTATCGCAAAAGAACATTTTCAACTTAATAATAGTATCTCCAAACAAACCTTCTGGTTTGAAAAAGCAAACTAAAATTAAGAAAAAATGCATTATTGATGTCATCAGAATAAGGGCCAGTAACTTGTATATTTAATAATTGGTGTAACACTTGTTTCTAATACAATTAGATTAAGATTCTTAGAAATTTAAGATTCCAGAAACGTAGGCGTATAGAGGGGAATTAATGATTTAACCGGTTTATTATAAAGTTGGTTGGATATGTTTATTCTAATAAAGAATTATACTTTGAATCGCATATTATCAATTCCTTAACTTCTGAAAAATAGGACTGAAATCAACATCAATAGGTAATTTTTGTTTTAATTGGGTTTCTGAAGATTGATATAATCAACAACTCTAGGTTTCAAATAAGTTGATTCATGAGCAAAAGATGCTGTATTTAGTCAAAAAAAAAAAAAAAATTCTTCTTAGTGAGATTGAGAAAAGGTCAGGAGAACATGTATTATCAATTTAGAGTAAATTGGGCTTTAACAGACTATCAAAATATTTTTAATGATTTTCTAAATTTGATTCTTCTTTCAATGGTAATGTTTCTGATTTATCTTCAGCAATTTCAGCTTGAGAACTGCTATTTGTAGCAGCTGGTGTAACAGTTTCTTCATTATTTTCATGAGTTTTAGAGGATGATGATTGGAATGAAACATTAGACAGTTTTGGTTCTGAAATAATTGTTTCATGTGCAGGAGATAATACGCTTGATGTAGGTAACACTTCTAGCTCATGAGAATGAGATAAAGTAGAAGGAGAAGAGGTAATATCGGTTTCAAGTAAACTTGGCTGTACCAAATTATCCACAAATTTTTCATCATTTTCTATATTTGTTTCCTCTTTTACTGTCAATGATTTATCTTCAACAATTTCAGATTGAGAACTGTTATTTGTAGTAGCTGGTGTAATAGTTTGTTCATTATTTTCATGAGTTTCAGAAGATAATGATTGGAGTGAAACATCATTAGATGATTTTGGTTCTGAAGTAGTTGTTTCATATGTAAGAGATATTACGCTTGATGTTGGTAACACTTCTAGCTCATGAGAATGAGATAAAGACGAAGGAGAACAGGTTATTTCAGTATCAAGCAAACCTGGTTCTACCAAATTATCAACACTTTTTTCATGATTTACTAAATGTGATTCCTTTTTGACTGATGTTTCTGATTTATCTTCAACGATTTCAGATTGAGAACTGTTATTTGTAACAGCTGGTGTAACAGTTTGTACATTATTTTCATGAGCTTCAAAAGATGATGATTGCAGTGAAACATCATTAGATGATTTTGGTTCTGAAGTAGTTGTTTCATGTGTAAGAGATATTACGCTTGATGTAGGTAACACTTCTAGCTCATAAGAATGAGATAAAGTAGAAGGATAAGAGATAATATCGGTTTCATGCAAACCTGGTTCTACCAAATTATCAACATTTTTTTCATGATTTACTACATTTGATTCCTCTTTCACTGATAATGTTTCTGATTTATCTTCAACGATTTCAGATTGAGAACTGTTATTTGTAACAGCTGGTGTAAAAGTTTGTATATTATTTTCATGAGCTTCAAAAGATGATGATTGCAGTGAAACATCATTAGATGATTTTGGTTCTGAAGTAGTTGTTTCATGTGTAAGAGATATTACGCTTGATGTAGGTAACACTTCTAGCTCATAAGAATGAGATAAAGTAGAAGGAGAAGAGGTAATATGGGTTTCAAGCAAACCTGGTTCTACCAAATTATCAACATTTTTTTCATGATTTACTACATTTGATTCCTCGTTCACTGATGTTTCTGATTTATCTTCAACGATTTCAGATTGAGAGCTGTTATATGTAGCAGCTGGTGTAACAGTTTGTATATTATTCTCATGAGTTTCAGAGGATGATGATTGGAATGAAATATTAGACAATTTTGGTTCTGAAATAGTTGTTTCATGTGCAGGAGATATTACGCCTGATGTAGCTAACACTTCTAGCTTATGAGAATGAGATAAAGTAGAAGGAGAAGAGGTAATATCGGTTTCAAGTAAACTTGGCTGTACCAAATTATCCACAAATTTTTCATCATTTTCTATATTTGTTTCCTCTTTTATTGGTAACGATTTATCTTCAACGATTTCAGATTGAGAACTGTTATTTGTAGCAGCTGGTGTAACAGCTTGTACATTATTTTCATGAGTTTCAGAGGATGATGATTGGAATGAAACATCATTAGACAATTTTGGTTCTGAAGTAGTTGTTTCATGTGCAGGAGATATTAGGGTTGTTGTAGGTAACACTTCTAGCTCATGAGAATGAGATAAAGTAGAAGGAGAAGAGGTAATATCGGTTTCAAGTAAACTTGGCTGTACCAAATTATCCACAAACTTTTCATCATTTTCTATATTTGTTTCCTCTTTTACTGGTAACGATTTATCCTCAACGATTTCAGATTGAGAACTGTTATTTGTAGCAGCTGGTGTAACAGCTTGTACATTATTTTCATGAGTTTCAGAGGATGATGATTGGAATGAAACATTAGACAATTTTGGTATTGAAATAATTGTTTCATGTGCAGGAGATAATACGCTTGATGTAGATAACACTTCTAGCTCATGAGAATGAGATAAAGTAGAAGGAGAAGAGGTAATATCGGTTTCAAGTAAACTTGGCTGTACCAAACTATCCACAAATTTTTCATCATTCTCTATATTTGTTTCCTTGTTTACTGGTAACGATTTATCTTCAACGATTTCAGATTGAGAACTGTTATTTGTAGCAGCTGGTGTAACAGTTTGTACATTATTTTCATGAGTTTCAGAGGATAAAGATTGGAGTGAAACATCATTAGGCAATTTTGGTTCTGAAGTAGTAGTTTCATGTGCAGGAGATATTACACTTGATGTAGGTAACACTTCTAGCTCATAAGATTGAGACGAAGTAGAAGGAGAAGAGGTAATATCAGATTCAAGTAAAGTTGGCTGTACCAAATTATTCACAAATTTTTCATTATTTTCTATATTTGTTTCCTCTTTTACTGGTAATGATTTATCTTCAACGATTTCATCTTGAGAACTGTTATTTGCAGTAGCTGGTGTAACAGTTGGTATATTATTTTCATGAGTTTTAGAGATTGAGGGTTGAAGTGAAACATCATTGGACAATTTTGGTTCTGAAGTAGTTGTTTTATGTACTTCTTCAGAAGAAGGAAAGATAGTATATAATGTGCAGCTATCGCTTGTTCCATTTGAACTTGTCTGCAATAAGCTATCTGAATTTACTTCATGACTTTCTAAATTTAATTCCTCTACAATATTACATTGACTTTCTAAATTTGATTCCTCAACAAAATTACATGTTTCTGAATTCATCAGGTCTAAATACACTGCAAGTTTATTTTCATCTATATGTGGGGAAACCAATGAGGTAAAATTAGAATTTATTTCCTTATTTTGAGCAGTGGTTGCGTCAATTGGAACTGTTTCATATAAGTTTGCTGACTTTTTTCTGAACAAGTTAGGAAGATGAACTTCTACGTCTACAACTTGAGAATGTCGATTCTCCTCAAAATCATTGTTTATATTTTGATGAAAATTTACATTTTCATAATGAACTGTGTGACTTTCAGCATGTTGCAATTCAGAAACAACACTAGCATTTTTTATATCTTCCCCATCCAACATAAAATCTGGTGATAAGTACATTCCATCATAGTCTGGTGGAGCAAACTAAAAACATATTTTTACAACAAAATATTATCAAGATATTTAAATGAAAGACTATTATAAAACAGTGTCTCAAAATAACACCTCATATATTTTAATGACAATATAATAAACAATGTTTGTAGGAAGTCATTTGCAATAAGAAGTTACAAGTTAAGTTATAATATCAAATTACTAATTGGAATACTATATTAGTATTCCAATTAGTAATAATTGCTTGTGAATAATTAAAAAATACATGTAAAACTACAGACCAACTTTACAAATATATTTGCCAAGACAAATAAATAACATTAATTTTGATACAATAATAATTTAATACCAAATATGTTTGCTTAGAACCTGTAATTACAACCTTTTTTCTTTTCAGAAAATGTGTCATTGATATTTATAGTTTTAAAAAAGTTACTTTTATGAAAGCTAAACTTCAAATAAAAATATAGTTGAGTTGCAAAATACTTCAGTAAATATTTGAAGCAACATTTAGTAAATAGTGAACAGCATGAAGCAACATTTAGTAAACAGTGAACAACATAATGCAATATTTAGTAAACTAAATGTTTCTTCATAACTAAATTGGTTACTTGAAAGAAAAAATAAATTTTTCCATAGAAGCACAACATCAAAATTTATTTCACTTTTTTTTCAATTTAAAACTAAATATAATAAAACTTAAAAGTAAAAAAAATTTTGACATAGTGTCAAAAAAATTTTTTCTTTTATGTCAACTTTACTCAATACCTCACACCCTGAAAATTTAGGGTCTTAATACCAAAAAAACATCCGATTAAAATCCTTTTAACCACATAAAATAGATGCTAAACTATGCTCAAAATGAGCAATTTTAAAATCTAGAATTAAAATCCAAGAGATATAAACTTTTTAAAAAATCGTATTTTTTGCTACATGGCAGCTCTTTTTTGTGTGCATGAAGTGTAAAAAGGCTTAAAAAGGAAAGAAAAATAATTAATCTAAAAGAATTATATTTTTCTGACATCAAATTAATAATTTCCATGCAAAAATAATAGATTCTAATTTATTTCTAGCAAGATTTTCAATTCATAACTATTCTTAATATTCTCAAGTATCACTGCAACATTTTTCAAACTCAATAGTTGGTTCAACAGCAAAAAATTTAAACTTTTTTGCTGTTGTAATCAACAATACAGCTTAGAAGCTGTTTTTGGTAATCAGGATGGGAAGCTTCTTGTTTGTATCTCTCCCAATGTGTTTTGAAATAGGAGTGCATTGTTTCAGTAGTTTGCTCGCTGAAGAGTCCGAGGGCCATTTTCTGGTGTATTTTCTGCCACTGCTACTATTAGCTGCTTTTTAACACTAGCACTTTTGAGGTCTTCTTGTGAACACAGCTTTACAGACATTTGAATGGGACTTTTAGGCTCAGATTCATAGAGTTTCATGTCAAGAAGACTCAGACTTACTTTCGAAAATGAGCCACCTCCATTTATTCCAAGTTTGAGAATCGTGTCTTAATCAAGACATCTGGAGTTACCAACAACCTACTTCAGTTGATGAAGGCCATGACAATGAGCAACGTAACATTTTTCATTGTTTGTCAGTTGAAGAGTGCTCAATGTAAAATTCTCTTGCAATAGTTTGCCAGTCTCTGGAAGTTTTGTTGAAAGTTTGATTCCACAAGCCTTACAGGGCTTATTTGATTGAGAATTGATCCAAGTTTCCTCATTCCTGTGTTTGAAAGGCCTGTGTTTCGTTGAATTGAGACCATATCTTTGCTTAGAGGATTGGGAAAAAGTTGTTGACGTACTGCTGTTGACCCTGTGAAGTAAAATAATGTCAATCAAAAATCAATTTCAATTTGAATTTAAAATTTTGACAAAATAATTTGAAATTTTGAGTTTCTTTTCTCACTGCTAATGGTGCTTCTTGAGATTTTCGAATTCTTACTGTGCCACCTGGTGAAGCATCTTTTGATGAAATTACTGATGATGTTATTAGCTCTGCTCCATTGGGATCTGTCATTACTAATGTTCTCAAGTTCAAATTTCAAGTCCCTTGATTACAATGATGTGGTAGTCCATGTGCAACCACAGATAAGCAAATTGTACATCTCTTTTCTGCTGGTGGATTCGTGTGATTTTGAGATTTGGTTTAATTTAATTTCATTAATGGATGCATTTCTTTACCTTTGGTTTTTGCAATTCGACAAATCAAGCAATTACAAGCACTTGTCTGTCTTGTCAAAGTTTTAACTTGAATCGAATCAAAGTTGTAAAAAGCAGGAAGATTGGGAGGCGAAATTTTGTCACTGGCTTTTTAATCTTGAATTGAAAAGTTGAGCAAATTCTGTTTAGAACTTTGTTATCGTTAAAATTATTGGAATTGGAAAATATTTCTGTGATCTTCTGTTTGAAGGAATCAATTAACGGTCTGCTTTTTTAATGCAAATGAAGCAGACAGATTTCCTGCACTCATTGTGGTCTTTGGCAAACATAGGCATTTTAAGAGTTTCACTTCTGCCCGGCTTTTTGTTTGTAAATGCGCGCACTCTTAATTAGGGATGTGGCAAGCCAACAATTTGACATCAATAACAATATCAGCATGATTTAATCATATATCTTTTCAATAATAAATGAAATCTCATGCTTCTTTGTCAAAAAGCATTTTGTAAAAGTTTAAAAAAATTTTAAATTCCCTTCATCGCCAGTTGGATTATAAGATTGAAACTTCAAACCCTAATAACTCCTTTGGATTTTAATCCACAATTTTAATTTTTATCAATATTTGCTTCTATTGACATCTAGAATCATTGGTTAAAAGGGCTTTAATGGGATGTTTTTTTTTGGTATTAAGACCCCAAATTTTCAGGGTGTGACCTCTTTACTAATCAATACCATAACCTCAAGGGTTATGGTACTTTACTAATCAATACCATAACCTCAAGGGGGATCAAAATAATCTAGAGAGTAATGAGCATATCAGTGCTGAAATTTTTAGAATTCTTTTTTTTCAAACTATGGTAATTCCAAATTCTAAAATTTTTAGAATTTGGAATTAGCATAGTTTTATTAGTATATTATGTCCCAACAAGAACTCTAGATGGTATAATTGTTTTTGTTTCTTTTTTTTTAATACATAAAGAAACATTTCTTTTTTTAATATTTTTCAAAACTTTTTTACTACCCCTAATAGCAAATCTAAAGAACACCATTTTGGAGTCTTTAGATCACTTTGGCTCATCTGCATTAACATGAATTTAGTTAAAACCTTTCGAAAAAGTGTTTTAATTTACTATAGATCTTAGTTCTAATCGGTTCTGACATATATTAACTACAAATAGTTGTCAAAATACAATATTTCTATTAATTTTCACAAAAAATACTAGAATTCAGACCAAGAAAAAGCTAATAATTAAGAAAAATTGTCAATAAATGATCAGAACAGATCATATTATTAAACTCATAGATCATCCAGGTCATATTTTAAAAAATCCGGAAAGTCATAAGGGTAAAATATCCGGAAAAAATCCAGAATATATTTTCCCTTTTATTCCTCTTAATTTTGCTTTTAGCTGAGTTGTTTTAAATTTTTTTTTTTAACTTCTCTTAATTTTTGTATGAGTAATGAGTGAAAAAGCTTAAAAAACAAATATATTACAAAAATATATACCTGAACTTGTATGTATGGAAAACATTTTTGATATCTTGCAAAACTAAAACTTAAGAAAAATATCTGGAATCTTAAACTTAAGAAAACTATCTGGAAAGAAAATCCCTGTAAACTATGATGTTCATTTCACCTAAAAGAAGATTTTTTTTTTTAATTATTTTTGGTCTGGGTTTTTTCGCTGTAAACATTTATACAGGCTTAGACAGGAATGCACGCTGTAACTGACCACGCTTATTATTTTTTTTCTTTACAATTTGACCATGGTGGTATTGATGTTTTAACAATTTAAATGCAATAAAAAAAATTGTTATTATGAACAACTTTTAATCATTGATCTTTTTAAAGTTTTTATTTTTTAAAGGAAGGCTTTAAATAAAATAAAAAAATTTATTATAGTGATTGTTGAAAATAACACATTTTGTGTTATTTAACAAATGTTACATATAAATTTTTTTATGCTGGCTTATGATAAAATTATGATAAATTAAACATTTGAAACTATTTTTCCATGTTTATCTAAAAATCTTTTGAAAGATAATTTTTCAAGTTATTTTAAATTATGAATAAGCTAAATTAAATCTTCCGTTGCAATGCAATGATTTAATTGCTTTATTTTTTTTTGTTTCTATTTTTACAAATAAATTCTTTCTTTTTTAACTTGACTAATTAATTTTAGCATGAAATGATTAAAAATTATCATTTTAAATAGATTACGGTATTTTTTTTTTTAACATTTTTTTTTGCGCAACTTTTTGGAAAAAATGTTTATACAATTTAAAAATAAAATATCTTTTTTATAATTTAAATAAAATTTGTTTATTTTAACAAATAAACAAATTTTATTTAAATTATAAAAAAGACTTTTTTATAATTTAAATAAAATTTGTTTATTTATTAAACAATCATTAGGAGTAATTTATAAATGCATTTTACGTAACTTTTTTCGAAGTTATTTATTTTAAACACCATTAAAAACGGAACAAAAAGTAACTTTTACTTCGAGCTTAATTTTTAAGTTTTATTTTAGTGCTTATATATTTCTATTCATAAGGAATTGTTTTCTTTTTGCATTATTATTATTTTTTAATTCCTAGTTTAAATTTAGCTAACATTTCTTTTTTTAGTGCTTTCCTAGAATGTTTAAAAATTCTTTAAACATCTAAACGCCATGGTCAAGTTGTCAAAAAAATAAGATCATTTGTGTAGTCAACAATAGTACTCGATCACACACCATTTCTGTCCAAGCCTGTTTATATTTAATGATACCGTAAAATTTATCATTTTAAGTTTTTTCGTCTTTTCATAATTCACAGACCTGATCATCTAACTATGTTCTAATTAACAAAAAATATGTCATAGTCAACAAAATATACAAACGCTATAATATTTTAAAATTGCCATAACTACACCGAGTATATTCTTTAAACGATTAGCAAATAATTTTTTATTCATTTTATTTAAGGGGTAAACAGATTCTATCTGTTGACCAGCCTTGCACCCCTTCTTTAATAAACCCAAATATGACTTAAGTAAAAAAAACTATAAAACACAAAAAACTATCATCATCACCAAGTTCTCGAGTGTATTGTGCTATATTGATGCCCTTCAATATAACATTTTTTCTGATAAGTCTTATCTCTTGCAAAGTTTACCAGACCTTCCAGTTCATTGCGAGACTAATTTGAGTTCAGCTGTCTTATCATGTGATGATGGTTATCTTCCTTTAATTTGTAAAGACTCCAATAGTCGTATGTTTGGCCTTAGGTCTGTGGATTCAAAGTTAGTTTTTTGAAAAAAGGGTGACATTTGTCAGAAAACTAGGTTTTTATCCACAGACTATTTTTTTATATGCTTTAGTTTAGTGCCATTTATCTTGCTCACTCTATTGCCTTTCTCTTTGTTCCATTTCTCTCTCCTTCATTTCAAGACTGCACTCTTTTCAAAGTTATTTCTGATCAAATTGACAAAGCCCTTTAAGCCCTTGCTCTTTATTCTCCAGCTAATATCCATTCTTCACCCAGATCAATTGCATGAAATTCATGTCAAATCAGTTTCTGTATCTGAAGTGATTTCATGCTAAGGCTCTTCTACAGCTTGTGGTCCAGACAAGCAGAAGTGTTATACTTTGGCAGAAGTGTTCTCTGGAGCTGTCATCTATACTTTCAAAACTATTTAACAAGTGCTTATCCCTATTTTCAAAAATTCTGGAGAGCATTCTGACTTGTTTAAATAGCGTCCCATTAGTCATGTACCTTTCAGATTTAACTCTTACTTCCAATCTTTCTTGGATATATATATGTATATATATATATATATATATATGTGTGTGTATATATATATATATATATATATATATATATTTGTGTGTGTATATATATATGTATATATATATATATATATATATATATATATATATATATATATATATGTATATATATATATATATATATATATATATATATATATATATATATATATATATATATATATATTTGTGTGTATATATATATATATATATATATATATATATATATATATATATATATATATATATATATACACTGTGTTTTTCATTCACCTATCCTGTTTTCATTCACCTATCCTGTACATTTTTTAAGCGCGATAACTTTTTATTCAGCAAAGATATAATCAAAATGTCAACTAAATGATATCAGTTAACCATTCAAGAAATATTGTAAAAAAAGATTTTACAAAATAACGAATAGAAAATAAAATATCGCAAACTTTTTTGTTTAAGTAACTAAAAAATATATAGACTTTTGGCTTATAATAATATAAATTTAAAGTACCTTCAAAAGTAAATGTACAGTTTCTGCAATAAGAATAATAAGCAACTGTTTCCAAAAAAATGAAATTTTAATAACATAAAATTAAAGTATAACTTGTGTTAAACAAAAGTTAATTTAAAATTGTTGTTATAAAGTACTTCAATATTTCGAGAAATCCTTTGATCAGTTTGATTTTGATTATAAATGCAACACAAAATATTCAATAGTATTTTAGTTCTCGACTGACTCCTTAACTAGACATTATGGTTTGCATAATCTTACATTTTTAAATTTGCGGTATGCAGAAGTTATACCTCAACAACCAATTGGATTTAATTAAATTTATCAGCTTTTTTTTTCATAAAAAAAACTGGCTTCCCGCCTTAGTACACTTGAGTAAACATTTGACCTTTGTCTGAAATATATCATTACATTTTTAAGTAACAATATCAATACTGATAAAAACAAGATCTTTTATTAACGCGATGTAGTGTAAGTTAAATGTCCATATAAAACAAACTGTTTATATATTTATGAAGCTTCAAATCAGTCATATATAGTAAATTTTAGCATTAGACATTTTTAAAAAAATCTTTTTTTTTCTTTTCTTGAAGCCATCATGCCACTGGGTGGCTGTTTATGTATAAGCATAAATAATGATTACTAAAATTAATACATGATTCATATAAATGTTACTTACAACATAGTCATCAGGATTCTCTTTAATAACTTCAGAAGTATCAGAAAGGGAATAGGTCTCCTGTAAATCAAATTTCTTTTTTTTTTTAATTTTCAATAAACATTTAAATCCACTATAAAAATAAAGGAACTTTTTTTTTATATATATAAAAAAAAAAAAAAAATTAGACTACCAATAATAATAATAATAATTTATATAATGATATAATAATATTGCTGACCTCATTTTTCCTAATTCCGAGGGTTGTAATAATAATAATAACAATAATAATAATAATAATAATAATAATAATAATAATAATGATAATAACAACAACAATAATACTATAAATAAAAATAATAATAGCAACAATAATAACAATAATAATAATAATAATAATAATAATAATAATAATAATAATAATAATAGTAATAAAAATAATAATAATAAAAACCATTTCAATACCTCTGTAACAGAACTTCTGCCATCATCGTATCTTGTGTTTGGCTGATAACCCTATTAAAATAAAAATGCAATCAGATATCATATTAGTTTATATAGATTTTTTAGTTTTATAAAAAAAAACAAGATTTTTTACTTTATATGTGTTTAAATTGTTTTTAAAGTAATGTAATTTAAAAGTTCTTTCAACCTCAAATATTGTTTTTATTCCTTCAATCTAATGTTATTGTTTCTTTTCAATCTGATGTTGTTGATTTATTTCTTCAATCTAAAGTTATTTTTTTATTTCTTCAATCTAACGTTATTTCTTTTATTGAAACTTATCCTTTTTATTTCTTCTATTTAAAGATATTGTTTTTATTTCTTCAATCTAAAGTTATAGTTTTTATCTCTTCAATCTTATGTTATTGTTTTTATTTCTTCAATCGAAAGTTATTTTTTTAATTTCTTTTATTTAAAGTTATTGTTTTTGTTAGTTCAATCTAATGTTTTTGTTTTTATTTCTTCAATATAAAGTTATTGTTTTTATTCCTTCAATCTAATGTCATTGTTTTTATTTCTTCAATCTAATTTTATTGTTTTTATTTCTTCAATATAAAGTTATTGTTTTTATTCCTTCAATCTAATGTTATTATTTTTATTTCTTTAATCTGAAACTCTATTGGTATCATTTATTTCAAAAAATGACACAATACTCTTAATGCTTTCTGTGATCTTCCTTATTGTTTAAATATTAAGGTTAAGTGGGTAACAAGCAAATGTTAGGTCAAGCAAATATAATGTGAAAAACAAAACTGTTACAAAAAAACCAAATGATTTCAAATATTTGAATTAAATACTTTATTAGGTTAGATTTAAAAAAATAAAACCTATTAAAATATTAACCATAATTTTGAATCATAAATTTGAATCAAAAAATAATTCAAGCAAAAGAATTTTATCAGTAAACAAAGAAAACTGACTATATTGTATTTTTTATAGAAATTTATTAGAGATCAACTAATAGATAAAAAACTATTAAAAGTAGAAAATAATTAAAACTATTTTAACTACAAGAAAAGTTATCTAATATCATGAAATTAGTATAAATAAACTAAAAATGCTTAAACTAATTACCACAGCAGTACTTTAACTTGGTACTTTTTAAAAATATACATTTTTATCTGTATGAAATAAAAACCTATTTAGAGAAAAACTAAAGTTTTATTTTTATCTTATTAAAAATAAAGAAACAATAAATGCTAAAGTGTTTAAATGAGCTTACATAATTGCTTCGATATGGATTCTTATGAACTTGATCGTCTCTTGTTAAATCTTTGATCACAGAGTACTTTCCTCCCATCTTAGTATAAAATTGCTTCTGAAATTATAAATAATTTATAAAATTGAAATTACTAAATTATATTGTTTGTTTAGACAACCTGTTTGATGTCATACTAAAATACTAGCCTGTTGCCAGGGGTTTTAATACATATATTTAGTATTTCATTAGTGAAGATGAAATACTTCATCTTCACAAATGTCACTAAAACATTTTTAAAATTACTAGATAAAACTTTCCAAAAAACCGCAAACTACATTCTAATACAAGTCTTAAACAGAAACACTGTAAAAGTAAACTATTGCTGTACTGATAATATGAAGAAAATTATAAAAAACCATACAAAAAAAAAAAAAAAATTTATAAATAAAAAATATGGAAGTAAAATGCATTTGTTGCAGCAAGGCAAAATGCCCCATGAATGGAAGGTGTAGATAATGTTATTTATAAATGCACTATTGCATCTAAAGACCAGCCCATCAAATATTATATTGAATTAGCGGAGGGTGAGCAGAACACTAAATATAACAATCATAAGTCACCTATTTTCAAATAGTCTATTTTTAAATCTGTATCCCTCTACTCAAATATTTGCAAAAAACGCCAAAGAACTAATTGACAAATTTGCAGTTATAAAAGCGCAAAAATTTTAAATAATGTAGTTTTTTCCTAATAAATATTCTTTTTTAAATTTTACTTTTCCTCTTTTTGTGGGAAAGTCCGTATTATCTATATTTTCAGGACACTTATTAAAATGTGCCTTAGGGCCAACAATGCCTTAATCCAGCACTGTCTATCTATCTATATCTATATATATCTATATCTATATCTATATCTCTATATATATATATATATATATATATATATATATATATATATATATATATATATATATATATATATATATATATATATATATAAACTAAAGTACATTAATACCTATTATTTTATGGTTTTTAATGCATTTTGTGCCAACTTAATTGCTCTGATTTTGTCACTTCCCCATGAGTACTCACTAATTTTTTTTCTGAAATCACTTTAATAAAGTCTGTTAAATCAGTAAAAAAAAATTTATTATGAAAATCAGTGTTGATCCTTGGTTACCGGTGGTTTAAAGAAAAGGCACATTTTTTAAAGTTTTACACGGAGCCATTTTTAGGAGCCCATTATTTCTTACTGAATCATATGTTATTAGCAAATTTTTAAATATTAGGAAGCCTACTATATATAGAAACTAAATAGATATGTCTTTTCACTTCTTAAGTTGCTAATTTTGCATATTGACCCATCAAAAATCAACTTTTTATATCTGCAAACAATTTTTAACATTTTTTAGGCAGCCATTATGAATAAAATGTGACATTAAAAAACTCAATGTCACGGTATTAACAAAGTAAGCCTACAGTTGTATATAATAAAACAAACTAGAAGGTTTTCTGAATTTTTGTTTTTAAAATACAGAGCTTCAAAGTATGAACAAAACATGTTTTTGATAACAAAGTTTAAATTTTCGAAAAAATTAGAAATTCTAAATGACCATATCTCATAAACCACAAAAGACTTTAGGCTGAAGTTTTCAGGAATTGCTTTTCTCATTGATGTAAACCAACCCACTAAGTTTCATCAAAATTAAGGGGTTCCATGTTGGAATCCCAAAATTTCAGTCCATTTGGCACAGAATAACACATATGCATTTATAAATTAAAAATTTTAAAACAATTTTTAAATAATCTTTAATTTTAATACTAAACGGTTAAATTTTAATACTAAACCGTCTAAACATTTCATAACTATTAACAGTAACTAACTAATAACAAACCAAATTATAACAAACCATTTCAGCCCCCTAAACAATCGAAAACACATAAACTATCTGTAACTTAATCAAACAAATTGTAGCAAAATTAATATTTTACTACTTGCCGCCTTATGATGTTGGTAACACATAAAACTCTGAGTAGCAATATTCTATTATAAATATTAGCATTTAGATAATTCCTGGTACTGTGGGTAACAGTCATTAGTATATATTAAATATATATTATATATTAATGATATATATATATATATATATATATATATATATATATATATATATATATATATATATATATATATATATATATATATATATATATATATATATATGTATATATATATATATATATATATATATATATATATATATATATATATATATATATATTACTGTTGTGTAAACTCTAGTTAAGTACTTGACAATAGCCCCCAAAATAATAATCATAATTAAAACTTCATAAAAAAATTATTTAATAAATTTTTAACATGATATTCATATGGAACATTAATTTGATATTTATTCAAAGACATGAATAATACAAACAAATAAATCACATACTTTTACCTATTTTTATTGTAAAACGCAACAATAAAATCAATCAAGATTGCGCTCTATAGAGATTTCTCTATATATTTCTTAAAATATGTTTTGACAATTAAATTTCGTGACTTACTTCTTTAATAAAAGGTTGTTTTTTTTTTAAAGAAAATCTTTCACGGAAGTCACGAAATTTAATTGTCAAAATATATTTTTTAATTAATACAAAAATTAAAAATAATAGTTATTACTATATCTGAGATCGCATAAATTTCGCGATTCAAAGTTACGGACAATAAAACTTACAAATGAATAATACTTTCAAAAGAATGTAATTCGGAAAAAGCGCATCATCAATTAAACTCTGAAGGTGACGAAGATAAATTAATCAACAAGTGTCAAAAAGCTGAAATTGTAAACAAAAGAAATAAGATTTTTTATTTGTTATGGAAATATTGTTTAAGTTTAGATTTAAGAGGTGATAAAATTTTTATTTGATAACTCTTTTATGTCATAGATTGTTTAATTTTAAATAAAATTTTATCAACGCAAACTCGGGTTTCTTTAATGTCTCGATCTCATTTTTATTTTTTTGTATACGTGTTTTATCAAAAAGTACAGTGCTTTGTCTAGACACACGTGACTTACGCGGTTCCTTATATCTCTTTTTTGAAAACAATATTTCAAAAATGTTTTCCTTGTCTTCAAAAAAGGCTCGCGATTTCTTGGAGACTGAGAAATCGCGTGCTTTTTAAAAGCCGAAGAAAGTAGCAGCAACACAGTGGTGGCCAGGTGGTGGACAAAACTTCATAAATGAAAGTTTATTATTTCAAAAACATTGTAATAAAACATAGTCGTTATACTCTATTGTGTTATTAAAAAATTTATTTGAGTATAATAGTACCTTTCAAAACCACACAAATTAATTGCGGTTCCAAGTATAAAAAATTTTTTTTTTTACAAAAAAACGTACATTTTTTCATTTTTATGCTTAACTTTAGTAAACAGTAACTTTTATAAAAATAAGTTTATGCGCAATTAGTTTTCGTAATTTAACTCTTTAATAATATAACATTATAAAAATAATATAAAGAAAAAATCAAAAGTTTGTAACACATTCTTAAACTGGCTTTGTAATAACGAGGTAAGTTTATAACATTTAATACTTTTATTTTGTACAAAAATTGTCAGATAAGATATTAAAAATTGTCAGATATTAAAACGTCATGTTTTTTATTCACCCAAACAAAAATACATGTTATTTTATCTCCAATACAATTCAATGCACATTGTACTGTTGAACAATACTTTTTTTGTTTTTTTATTTTAGTTATAATATGAAAATTGGTGACATTCACACACTTATAAATAAACTAGTGCCTAATAATAAATAATTTTTTTCATCTGTATTAACTCTCCTAGCTTTAGCAGATATTAAATTAAAGATTGTGAGTGTAAAAACTTTACAAAAGTATATCGTAAAACGTGGTAGCTGCAAACAATGATATTAATCATTTTGAGAAAAGAAATGAATACAATACGATAGATTCTCCAGTTAATAAAGTTGGAAGAAACTGTTGCTTATTTGAAAAACAAAGGTCTAGCATTAATTGTTGATGGTGGTTTTATAAAAATCAGCATACCAGCTTTTACGAAATGGCGCTGAAGAAAATGCTGACCATGTATCCTTTACATAATGATATACGGTTTCCAAAAGCTAAATGCTACCCCAAAAACATTTATGCAGATCAGTACACAGTAAACATACCGCAAAAAGACCTTCTGATGTACACTCTTGAAAGACAGTGTGATGAACAAGCTCCTGTGCTAATCAATGTTAAAAGAACTAACTAAACTGACATTAAGATGCAAGGCTGTGTTTGATGGTGCTACAGCGAAACTAGCAGATTAGCCATAATGAAAAGAAATCTAAAGAATGAAGAGTGTTTATTTATTACTTGCATAGTACCATTAGAGCTCAATGGATTTTATAATAATAAAAACGTAGTAGTACGGAGAAATGAAAAGCCATCATCAACTGCATATTGTCGACCAGTTAAATTTTTGTTTCAAAAGAAAACTAAGAATGTTGTGGAAGAAGAAAAAAAATATATCGATTCTAAAATTGAGAGATGTAATATTATTAACATTATTTTTCTAGGAAAAAGAGATAGCTGTAAAATGTTTTATAGAGCTGACCATGATAGATGGTAAAATTCAATCATAATTATTAACTATAACAAACTCAACACAGCATTGTCTAGTTTGTCGTTTATCTCCCAAAGACATGAATAACTTGGAGAAAGTGTTGAATTTAGACATCGATGATTTTAAATATGGTTTATCCAGCCTACCCGCTTAGATAATTTTTTTTTGAGCTAATACTGCATATTGGATATAAAAAAGGAAACTGGAAAATGGCAGGCTACAACCGTAGCTGATAAAATATCGGTAGAGCAAATAAAATGCCAAATTCTGACCAATTTTATGAACCAAATGGGATCGGATAAAGATTTCAAGAACTTTCGAGAACAAACCAAGATTTGATTAATAGGCTTCTTGAATCCAGTGATCCCGTTATGAGATCTCTTTGAAAACTAAAGTTAAATAAAAATCAAAGTTAGTATAAATTTCCCAGTGAAGTTCTAAAATTAGTGAGAGAATCAGCTCTGTAATTTAACGATTTGTAATATATATTTTAGTACAAGCTTTGTTTTCTCCTTTCTTTGCATTTTTTAAATTATAATTATTTTTGGTATAAAAAAACTAAAAATGATGTCATTCAGAATGTAGAGGCAATAGGTTTTAAAATTAAAATATAATACCTTAGATTATAATTGTTCTATAGACTTATACGATTCTATAGACTTCACGTGAAGTCTATAGAAGTCTATAGTCTTCAGTGCACTGAATATTATTTATGATGTGATCACATCATAAATAATCTTTATATTTAAAACAAAATGATTTTATGAGAACTTGAACATACTCAAATATAACAAAATTATAAATCCGCGTTTTTAAAGTTTGTTGAATTATTTTCTGTTTATGCAATAATTTAACTAAAATTATAATAAGAGTAAAAATTTCTTGACTTAAAGCAGTTATTTCGACATTAAAAGATCTTAAATAATATATATATATATATATATATATATATATATATATATATATATATATATATATATATATATATATATATATATATATATATATATATAATATATTTATATATATATATATATGAAAATAATTTTGTCCACCATAAGTCTAATGTCCGGCCCACTATGCGGCGCTGAGATTTTTAAAGTGTGAAGATTGATTGTAAAGGCTAAGGAGTTTTATGTTGGTTTGAGTTCAGATTGATGAAAGTGAAATTTTTTCCTTTTTTTAGGCGGAGAGGACGGGAAGAATGGAGAACAAACAGTGAAATAAATTATATATATATATATATATATATATATATATATATATATATATATATATATATATATATATATATATATATATATATATATATATATATATATATAAGTATTTATAGGAGGAAGAGCATTTAATAATTCCTTTTAAATGCTCTTCTGTGATAAGACCGTTAGGGCTTCTTGGGGCACCTAAAATCAACTTAAAAAATAAATATATATGTGTATATAAAAGTATATATTTATATATGTAAGTATATATATATACATATATATATAAGTATATATATATAAGTATATATATATACATATATATATATATACATATATATATATATATATATATATATATATATATATATATATATATATATATATATATATATATATATATATATATATATATATATATATTAAGTTTGATTTTAGGTGCCCCAAGAAGCCCTTACGGTCTTATCACAGAGCACCGCGGAAGAGGATTTAATAGGAAGTTTACACCTTCTTCCCAACCGATGTCGCAAAGCTTGCCTAGAAGTGGGGTTTGAACCACGCATCTTACGTTTCTGAGGAAAGTGCTTTACCACTGCGCCACGGCTGCTTTTGTGCATTACCACGGCACACACACATATATATATATATATATATATATATATATATATATATATATATATATATATATATATATATATATATATATATATATATATATATACATACATACATACATACATACACACATATAAGGAAATACTCTGGAAAATAAACTTATTTCGCCCGAAATCAGCTCATATCTACAGGGAAAAAAAGTAATATAAAATTTCTTAATCATGACGATCTTTGTAAGCAGACGATTGCCTACTTCGAGCTATTCTTTTAACATGTTTCTAACTGATTAATCAATTTTTAACGGTTATTTTTAAAAAAGTCTGCCCCGTATTTCCGTTATCGATAATGAATAATGCGCATAAATATTCACTTAATCTTTTAAAATTACTTTACGTATACTTATGATAAAATCTGTATATAAGCTATGGACATTTTAAGTTGCTTTAAATTACCAAAATCGGTAATTTAACAGATTTTAACATTGTCAAACTTTTCTTATCGGTAAGAAATGTTATCACTAAGCTTATCGATGTTGAATATCGATAAACCTAATTGTTAGTAGTTGATAGGAAAATTTATAGCGAGAATTTTTATTTATTTAAGTATTTTGTATAAGTATAAACAAACAAAAAAAAATTTTTTCGAAAGAAATTAATACAAAATTTCTAGAATAATTTCACAAAACAACATCTTTATCATTTTCATTCCATGTTAAGAAAAAATCCACAAGATTCAAACTAGATATCTATCTTCATAAAAAAAAAAAAAAATTAAACTAATCAATTTTCATTATTTCAGGTTTCGAATCGACATTAAGAATGGTAAAAATTAACAGAATAAATATTGTTATTATGATTATGAGCAACCAGTGAAATCCAAACAGCAGCGCGAGTACAATAAACCAGGAGGTGTAACCTATAAAATAATATGAAGCAGCAAATCGCAGCGAAACGCGTGGATGAACAGCAGAAGTGGTAATTTGACCTCCGTCTGTAGCTACAATTTTAGATATCGTGCGAAGAGCATCGGAGATAATATCGTTTCTGTTGTACAACCTCTCAATTTTTTTGGAGCACTATAATAGAATAATTTGCTATAAAACAACTTTAAAATTTTTTAAAATTAAACAATACTAATATCAATGTTATCGGACACCAACAGTGTTATAGGGCACTAACAATGATATTATGATAATAAAATAAAAAAAATTACACAACATAAATAAAGCATATTAGATCTTGTACACGATTTATGCTTTATATTTGTGGTCAGCCACGCATTTAAATAGTAGGAAGTATTTATCAACCAAAAGTCCAATAAGCCCGATAAAATTTCGGCTACAGTTGACTAAGAAATTCTAGATTCCATTTTTAACAATAATTGTGTTATGGAAGTTGAAGAGAGAGAAAGGGAGTCAAACAATGTGCCTCACAAAAAGAACAAAATTATTAGAGAATGCATGCGCGATAGAGTTATCTGAACAATAGTCTTTTTTTTGACAAATGTGAAATCAGATAACCACTGAGCCTTATATCAAAGAGGTTTCAAAAAAAATTGTTAAAAAAAACTGTAAATATTTTATTTTCTTACAAGTAACTAATTACGCAGCATCTTGTATTAAATATCTACTTTTTTATACAGACATTCTGTGAAAATGTACAAGTTACTAGGTTACTAAAATGTAGAGGTTAATAATATAACATTCAAAGTAGATTTTCAGTTGTTTAAAATTTTGGTTATTTAAAGTAAACTTTTTGATCAACCAAAATTTTAAAAAATTAACTTATTTCTCCGTGCAACGACCTTGATCTTCAAAATTTTTTTTTTGGAGTTAAAGAGTTGAAAGAGGGTTGTAACCACAATAAAGTAGCCTCCTCAACTGTAGTGGCTCTCTCTACCTTGGGGAGGTAAATGACTTTGGGAGATTAAAATAACCGAGAGCCTACTGAACTTATTCAAAACATCTTGAAAAAAAAATTATTTAATAATTAAGAAAAGAATGACAATAAATTTGGGTTTGAACCCCAATCCAATTATTTATTGCTTAACTCAAAAAATATCACAATCATTATATACAACACCATTGAGAAGTTTAAAGCCAGCTGACTGTTCGTTATACATGAAATAATGAGGATAAATGTATATTTATAAAAAAACATGAAATTCATTTTTTAAATGATTTAAATAATGTTAACATTAGCAGATCTCAGCAAATAGATTGACAAATAAATATTTTCAAAATTATAAACTAATCAATGTTTACACATCATAGAAACAACTGTAGCGATGAATTTATGCATGCTACATTATACTCTAAACCTTAAATTTCTACATTTTATGTTCGATTGCTTTCCATAATTTCAAAATGTTGGATGTGAATTGGAAAAAAAAAGTGTACCAGAGAATTTTCCAACTTATATAAAAAACTATGTAAAAAACTATATAAAAACTATAAAAAATATTGAAAAGAGTTTAATGACTTAATGTCTAACTTGAATAAAACACAAAAAAACAGTTAACCAGCCAAAATTTTCATAGATACTTGCTTATTCTTAAATATACACCCAGCAAAAACATATTGACTCTTAGAAAAGTTTTATTTACTGCACATTGCTTTTTAGAAAAAAATTAAGTTGCAGAAGAACTGTTGAAATGTTTATTAAACCAAAATTAAATTGTTAAAGATGTCTGGTGGAAAAAAATTAGCTAAAAAAACATAATAAACTGTTTGTAGTCAAATCTATTCGACGTTCTTTATATAGACTGATAACTCAATAATTTTTACAAGAAGCACAATATCAAGCTGGTAAAATAATGAGTAGATAATAAAGAAAGATATAAAGGGGCAATATCCTTCATAAATTAAAGATTATAAAATAGTAAACGAGAAAACTGAGGGAAAATTGTCTATTACATCTCTATAAAAAAAAAAAACGGTTTTACTTTTTCATTTATATATATATATATATATATATATATATATATATATATATATATATATATATATATATATATATATATATATATATATATATATATACATATATATATATATATATCAATGTATATATATATATATATATATATATATATATATATATATATATATATATATATGTGTATGTATGTATGTATGTATGTATGTATGTATGTATGTATGTATGTATGTATGTATATATATATATATATATATATATATATATATATATATATATATATATATATATATATATTTAAACAATTTAAAAAAAATGTATTCTACAAAATAGAGAGCTCAATGTTCTTAAAAGAACAGAGCAATTATAAATTAGTAGAAAATCACTTCACAAAATTTTTTTTTCATTTTACACTGTGTTTCATCAACAAAGACTCATCAGAAATGAATTCATTTCTGATGAGTTATTGTTGGTGAAAGAGTGTAAAATGAAAAAAATTTTTGTTAAGTGATTTTCTTATAATTTATATATATATATATATATATATATATATATATATATATATATATATATATATATATATATATATATATATATATATATATATATATATATATATATATACATACATACATGCATTTTGAATCCACTATCATTTTGTATATACCACTCTAGAGACTTCTTGAAGTAGTGGATTGTAGCCAAATCAGGCCAAAATATTGTGGGCATATCAGGCTTTATAATAAATAGAAAATGTTTTTAAGGCATTCCTTTTTATACAAATCGCATTCAAATTTTCCTTTTTAAGTTTTTAAGGCATTCCTTTATATACAAATCCGCATTCAAATTTTCATGAGTTATTTTCAAACACAGGATTAGATTGCCAAATAAAAAAATAGTGAGCAAATTTCTCAGTTAGAATAGATTTGTATTTTTAGATGACACACCTTTTAACTGATAGAAAAATTACTGACATGGCATTATGAAAAGTCCTTTTTGCAATAGGTTTCATTGTTTTCTATTATGCACAAGTTATCTTGGTTTAAAAGTTTATATAACTTTTTTGAATGATAAACTGCTTTCAATTGTTAAATCGCTTTGGAATTTTATTTTTTTGATATGCTTTATATTCTGGAGATCTAAGTATTTTTCCTATCAAAGCTTGGCTGCATTTAAACTTTTTTGCAAGGTCTCTCTGCTACTGACATGGATTTTTTTTTTATGGAGCAACTTTGCCTGAGGTTTATTTATCTTTAAAACTTTTTCTTTTTCAACTTCTAGCTTCTCTTTCAATAGATTGAGTCAGTTTATTTTGTTGTTTATTATCAGTCAGTTTATTTTGTTGCAAAATTAATCCAACTGTGGATCGAGAAACATCGGTCAATTTTAAAATATAAAAAATGAAGTATTTTGAAGAAAAATTTGCACAACTTTTTTCGATTTAATATTTATTTACTCATTTCATAATTTGATAACAATGATAGCTAATTCTTATTACCATAACAATTAAACAATAACACATTAGCTTCATAAAAGTGTGCAAGTGTACTAAACTACTTTACAAAAAAATTTGTTGAGTAGTTTTTGAGTATATAGCAATTAAAGAGTACACAATTTCATTGTATTCAACTAACACATAATCAAAAAATGATTTACAAAAAAGAATCAATTCAAGTTTTAAAACAGAAAGATTATAGAAAAAAATATATACAAATTTAATATTTAAACTTTTCTGTGAACTGATTGACCAATATCATACACATCTCACATGATGCCTACAGCCAATACATATTTAAAATTGGTTATAGGCATCAGGTAACTCCTTCAAATATTCAGTTGATTGAATTAGATGATTGACCGTCAAGTTAAGTCCATAGTTTTACTTTGTGTAGCTGAAATTCCTAAACTCAACCATTTTTTTTCATCTTTTTCACAAGAACAATTTTCTTGAGAACAAATGTCTTTTTATTACTGTTATAAATTAATGTAAAAAATTGGTGTAATGCTCCAAAATTTAAGTTTATGTCATCTTCTCAGAAGTTATGTTCTGTTCTGATGTTGTGTTCTCAGAAGTTGTGTTCTGTTCTGATGTTCTCAGAAGTTAGGTTTTAGAGACTTTTGGAAAATTTTCAACAAAGATTTCTAATACATGGTCATTTCTAATACATGGGTCTAATCTTATTACCTCTCGAATAGGCAAATACATTTGTAAAGAACATTTCACCTAATTTTTCCCTTGAATCTCTAATGACTTCACTCTTCCTGTCATTCTAGAGGAACAGGTTAATCCATTGTTTTAGCAACAGAAGCCAAATTACTTTGGCTTCTGTTGCTAACGTTATTTTTCTCTTAGCTAATCTACTGCTTGTGGTCTAGACAACATTCCTGTCACAGACTTACAAATATGTTCTCCAGAACTCTCTGCATTATCCTTTTAACTACCTAATAAGCAACTGAATATTGTTTTCCTGCCTGCTAAAAAATGATATTTGTGGTTCCAATTTTTAAAAACTCTGGAAACAGTCTTCTTTCTATTATTAGAAAGGTCTTAGAGTATTTAATTAACAAATTTCTAACAAATCTCATCTTGATTCTAACAACTTTCTGACAATTGATAAAAATGATCCACTCATCTGTTTTGATCCACTCATCTATTTAGAAACTTTTGTTTTAAATTTTACTAAACACTTTTTCATGGGACTTTAATTGGGTAAATATCAATTTGAACTCCATCGAAAACAGAAGGTGTATATAACAAAGCATTATTGTAGCCATTTATAATTCTTTTCATATTTTTTGTGCATCTGTAGCTAACTTTAATTGAATTTCAGTTAAAAATTTCATGCAAATTATTTAAGGGGAAGAAGTGTTTATCAAGAAATTTTAAAAAACACTTTTTCTATGTTAGTGAAAACATTGCATTAAAAAATCAAAATACTAAAGCACACTAACTTACGCATTTATTACATATATAGTACATAACCTTGCTACTCCTAAATAATGCATGTTTTAGTACAAAAAAAATGCTAAAAAAATTGAACCTTATTATTAATGAATATAGAAGCTTTGTAAAGCCATCTAACAGCCAAGGAGCTCTCATGTGAACGAACAGGTTGTAGCTCTGGATCGCCAGTAAATATTTTATCAAATCGACGGAGACCTTGGGCAACCTAAAATAAAGAAAATCATAAAATACAAGCACAACATTTTTGGACTAAAACATACTGGATTGAGAATGGTTGAAGTAAGTTTAACACTCCTAATTTTCAAAACATATTTAAATGTTTCAAGAAGTTTCAAAATGCTAACGCAGTTGGTATATTAAATATGTGGCTTTACAGGCCAAACAAAAACAACTTTTTAAGCAAATTTTCAATACAAAATTTGCAATTATAATTAAACACTTAAGATTACCACTAAGGTTACCAAGGTTACTTAAGGTTACCAGGTTACCACAAAATTGAGGGTAAATAAAAAGATTTTAAAGATTTATAAGAAAAAAATTTTCTGAAAGATTTTGTCTCAAACAGCAAAATAATTTTAAAAATAAAGAGGGTTAAGGAGGTTAAAGTCATTTCTTTATAAACAGAAACTTTTCTTTTTTCACTATATGAGTGACACCTATCAAATTACTGTAAATTTATGATGAATTTTGTAAATGTTATTAATATGATTAAAGAATATATTTAGAAATGCATATATATTAAACATTTAAATTTTTAATTTAATACTTTTTTAAAAGAGCATATTAAGAATTGTCTGCTATATAAAACCAAATTGAAACAATGCTTAAAATATTAGTGACACAATTTTAACATCAAAATTCAACTAGGGCTATTCCAATTCAACATAAATTATTCGGCTATTCCAATTCAACATAAATTGACTTTTTAAATTGACTTTTAATTGAATTTTACTAGATTAATGTAGACTCCACTGCTTTAATATTCTGTAAAACAAATATAATTATAATTAAACAACAATAATAGTTGAAACATATAAAACAACTTTCAAAAATCAAAAAATTTGTTTTCTAAAAGAAAGTTGAAGCCTCACCATTTTTAGTCCCTGAATATTTGAAAATTTAATTATCCACGGATTTACACCGCATAATTATCACGTATATATTATATTATATAAAATATATTACGTATTATTATCAAAATTTAAAAAAATCAAATATTTTTTACATACAAAAAAGTTTTTTTAAAACTTATTATTTGTACACCCATACAAATAATGACTTTTAAGGTAAAACTAAATAGTATAATAATTAAAATTTATATGCATTAAAATGTAATGTATTATAACTAAAAGTGAATTTCCACTAAAATATTTTTCAACTGGAATCATTAAAAAGTGATGTTTTGTTACAATATGACCCTTTTTACATTATTTTTACCTTCTGAAAACCTTAAAATTCTTTGTATCATTGAAATAAATACAAAGCATTCATGACATTAAGGAACATTACGAAGGACATTTTACGAAGGACTCCTTAATCTTAATCATAATTGATGAACATGTTTATCTTTTAACTTCTTAAGTTTTTATCTTGTTTAACTTTTTTATTATTAAACTTTTTACCTAGTTAAAAAAATTAATCAAAATGGAAAATTATTAGATGATTATAATCTACTTGGTATAGATAAAATTTCAATGAAAATGTTCAACAACCAATTGATGAAGCCAATTTATTGAGATAGCTGCTCATTGTTAATCAATTAAATGCATCTAATGCAATCTTTGCTGCATTAAATAAACAAACAAGTGTAAAAAATTGCTTTTTATGAACCTTAAAATAACTTAAAATGGAAAATTATTTACACATGCTTATTTAATTTCTGAAACCAGCAGTATCCACGCAACTTGGAATTTTTAATCTGTTACAGAGACATGAATTAGCAGTAACACTTCTAAAAAGAACTTTGCTGCATAGCTTATTCAAACTTACTCTCCCTAAATTGAATCTATGGATATGTGGTAGTCACTTTTTAAAGAAAGTTTTAGTTGAGACTTACATGATACCTAAACATGACTTAAATGCAATTGATAGGTTGTTAAAAGATGTTTGCAGCAACAACTTTCCATTTGGAGAAAACAAGAATTGTTTTTTGTGGAGAATTTAGGCAATTAAATGCCTGTTTTGAAAAAAAGGCAACCAGGTAATATTGTAGAAGCATGAAAAAAAATGTTTTCTAAAGTGGAAATGGATGGAAGCTAAAACTTTGCAGTAACTAAAAATGCGAGAGTAAATGATAGCAAGGAATAATTTTCCCAATGACTATCAAAACTTAGTAGTGAAACAATACTGGAAAATAACAATACTAGAAAAAAAGGAAAATCCTTATAAAAGATATATTGAAATTTCCTCATTCCGACTCAACTGTTGAAAAGTTATTTCGATATTCTAAACAAAATAATTAAGCTCAATGTGTTATTTTAACACCCACTTATGTCAATTCATTGCCAATCAATAAAGTGCTTGAATACTACAATGATCTAAACTTGTGTAATGCAAAGTGCTGGTCAAATTGAGACTGATAACCATAATTATAGAAACAACTCATTCAGGTAAATTTGAAAATTGGAAGTGTAATTATTTTACTTTAAAATTTAGATTTTAAAGCTGGGCTATGAAATGATATACTCAAATTTTGTGCTCTTCAAAATAATTATATTGATGCAAAGGTTTTGAAAAATGTTTCTGGTAGCAAATGAGTTCCTTGAATTTAATTAACTCCATCAAATTCTGATTTTCTTTTTGTTATAAAATGAGGTCATTTTCCTGTCCAATTGGCATATTCAGTGACAATCTTTAAAGGTCAAATGCCTAATAGGCTCGGTGTATATTTAAAAAAAAAACATGCTTTTGTCATATGCTGCATGTTTAAGAACAAGAGTTTTTTACTTTTGTTTTTCAAAGTTGATAAAACGTTCAATACAAGACATGGTAAAAATTGTTACACAAAAAATAATTATTATTTTAAGCTTGTCTTTAGATTTTTTATTTCATGTATGTACACTTACATGTTAAATCATGAAAGTGTACATCTACATATCATACATATACATAAAGCATGTAGATGTATGCTTACATTTCAAATAAAAATGAACCTTGATTTATATTTATTATTATTTTATATAAATTTATATAAAATTATATAAATTTATATTATATTTTATATAAATTTATATCATGCTTTGTTTATGCTATATTTTATATAAACAAATGTATATTAGTTTATATAAAATATATATTTCAACAAAATCCTCTTTACCATCTTATACTATATTTAAATTGCATAAAATACAATGTTTATCTAAAAGCTAAAAAAAAAACAAAGAGTCTAGACACTTGAATCATGGCAATTTTTTAGTGTTTTTTTTTTTAATTTTTAGTTAATGTTCAAAATATTTTATGGATAACAAAAAATAAACTGAAATAAAGTGAAAATTTGTATTTAACCTTTGATTTGTCAGAATTTTGATATGTCAAAATTAGGGGAAAAAAAAAAGATAAAATTTTGAATAACTAGATGATCTCTAAAGTAACTACTTTAGCCATAGAACTACTTTTAAGTTGCTTGACACTACTAAAAATGTTTGGCTTCACTGATTCTAAGTGGTGCTAACCTTAAGTTAAAATAACTAACTTAGCGTGAAAATAATAAACCAAAATAAAGAAAATCTCAAAAACGCTGTAAAATCTTGTAGATTTTATCATTAATGAGTTACTTTTTTAGAATATAAAAAATCATACCTGAAACCGCCCTCTGTCAGTAAGTACAACTCCATGAGATGTCCACATGCAGTCTGGCTGCTGAACAGGAGATAAATGTGAATTATGTAGAGAGTTTTTCAGAGCTTCATAATTACCATGAACAGTAGGACTAACTTCTATGACTAACTTTTAAAGAAAATATTTTTTAAAAATTTGTAAAGCTTTTTCAAACAAAACTTATAAAAAATTAAAATTAATCTTTAACAACTAAAATTTAAAACTTAAAAAAATTAAGCAACTAAAATTTAAAACTATTTTTATTTTATTTAAATTTAAACAATTAAAAAAAATACTTGATAAACATTGGACAGTAAATGACATGATTTTTCTAAGTAATCAATTAATTTTTGGTCATCTTGGTCATGATCTGTGCCATTTTCATTATTTGTTAAAAACTCTTTTATTTTAGCGATCCAACTACTTGATCGGCTAGCTGTGCTTGATGTTTGCGATGCTTTATTATGAAGCCTGATTGCTGTTGAAGCTAACGACTCGCATAATATTTGAACCTGATAAAGTTTAAATTTAAAGTTTGATTTATTTGTTTTTTAACACAAAAAAAATTATGGTTGTGACAACGATGTCTCTTAAGAATCAGAACATTGTGATGCACACTGAGATCGAACCAGAAAAGTTAACTAAATTATTAAATTCTCTTTTCTGACCTTAATTTCAAATTTCCTAAACTTTTGTTAATTTTTGTTAAAGGCTTCTGGTTATTATGGTAATAATTTTAATTATTTTAAATTATTTAGTTATGAAATGAAATTAAAAACTTAATTTTAAAAAGAATTTTTCAAAAAAATTTTCAATGAGCATTTTTCATTTTAAATGAGCAATTACTTTGAAATTAAAAAATCTTAAACAAGCATTTTTTCAAAAAGAAGCAATCCAAGGGCCAAATCAAACAATTGGAAATCTCGAATCACGATGATCCTAATCTCAAATCGCGAAGGTCCGAAGGCATTTAGCGATCTTGAAAGTATATTATTTGAAGCAATTGCAAAATTTTCTTATTCCAGCAAAAAGTTTATATGAAAAAAAAAATTGTTTTAAAAAATATCTGCAAAATTTTCATAGTTCTTTCAATAAATTCTTCAATAAAAACTTTCATTGAAACTTCAGAGTTCTTTTAAAAATTTCTTCAATTAAAACATTCTAAATACTTCCAATCATTTTTTAATAATTGTATTTCAATCTAATCATGTTTCACAACTCTTTGAGTTTCCAAATATTAAATGAGTTAGTGTTATTTAAAAAACAAAAGTACATAAATTATATAAAAACTACATTGCAAAAACTTTGGTTCTTACTTTCAATGTAATTCAAATGAAATTCAATGCAGTTTATTACTTGGCAAAAAACAATGCCTGTTTTCTGATTTTCCTTATTTCCTGGAACTAATTAGGAATAATGGCATTGAAAATCTTAGTAATAGTTATGCAACTATGTATCATAATTTTTGATGCATCAGAAAAATAGTGAGGTGGGTGGTAACCTTTTTTTTTATTTGATTATTGATTAAAAAAAAAAAAATCTTTTCAAAAAAAGTTCTACAAATTAATCTGATTAGATGAAGCTTTACCTATTTGCTGGCTATTATTGGCTTACAATAAATAAAAAACTGCTTTTAAGATAAAAACTATGCTAATAAACTCAATGCTACAAACAAGCGAATCCTTTTTTTAGATAAAAAATGTGTTTTTCCAATAAAAAAAACTTTGGATAAATCAGAGGAATCCAATTTTAAAATAAACGCAAGTAACTTTTTGGACCACGAGTATCAGCAAGGAATGCTTGTTTTAAGAGTATATCAGCTTTAAAACCTTATCAGGTATCATATATTTTGTTATAATGTTGGCATATAACAAACAATATTTCAATCTAGTTTGTTATTACTTTTTTTAAATTCTATGGATCTGATAAACTTAGGTTGATTCGCAACCTTTGCAACGCTTTTTTTTTTCAAAAAGTAACAACTCTTTTTTTTTTTAAAAGAAAGCAATCCTATTATTCCAAAAAGGAGCAACACATAAAATAAAACTTAGACCAAAATAAAAGTCAGAAGTAAAAATTTGTTTTTAAAAAATGTCATCATCTTAACTCAAGATTTTTGTTTTTTTATTATGTATTTTAACTATATATATATATATATATATATATATATATATATATATATATATATATATATATATATATATATATATATATATATATATATATATATATATATATATATATATATATATATATATATATATATATATATATATATATATATATATATATATATATATATATTAGGGTGTCCCAAAAAACAACATTTTTGAAAATAATCTGCTCTTACCCCCTAAATGTGTTCTATCTAATACAATAACACTAGGTTTAAATTTTTTTTGAATAAAAAATATTTTAAGGGGTCCCTCAAAACCCTCGAATATTTAATGGGTCCCTAATCTTTTTGAAAAAAAAGTTTTTCAAAAATTTGTCAACCTGGTACTCAAATGAAGCGAAATTATATAAATATTTCAAAAATAATATTCATTTCAAAATATTTTTAACTTATTTATCAAAATCATCATAAAAAAACATCAGAAATGCATTTTTTTAATAATACCAGTAATAAAACCAAAAATAACAATTTTGTTTCGAAATGAATATTATTTTCAAAATTTTTATATAATTTCGCTTCATTTGAGTACCAGGTTGGCATATTTTTGATAAAAATTTTTTTCGAAAATATTAGAGACCCATTAAATATTTGAGGGTCTTGAGGGACCCCTTAAAATATTTTTTATTCAAAAAAAATTTAAACCTAGTGTTTTTTCATTAGATAGAACACATTTAGGGGGTGAGAGCAGATTATTTTCAAAAATGTTGTTTTTTGGGACACCCTAATATATATATATATATATATATATATATATATATATATATATATATATGTATTATTGTGTATAATATATAAACAGTATATATAATATACAAATATTCTATGATGCTGGTAGCTAATAATGATTTGAAACCATTTGAAACTAATAGTAATAGATAGACATTGTGACGTTAGAATAATAGGGTTCTATCTATAAAACATTCAAAAATAACGTCACAACATGTATATCTATGTTTGTATTGTATTTTTTATATCTCATTTTAGCATATTGTTACCATAAAACCAGAGTGTTTAACTCCATGTTTTATTGAAAATGACTTTTTAGTAAAAATGTTCTCCACCAAATTTACAATTTTCACATTACGTTTTGTTAAAATTTTGTGTTATGGTGGCTAACCTGATTAATTTGTTTGTTTTAAAACATATGATGAGTGAAGACTGTGACCACTCTACAATTATAATCCAATAGCGCAAAGTGACTGTGAAAATCTCCCAATGGAAAATCTTCAATCATAGACAATAAACTTTTGTTACATAACTCCTAACCTCAAAACTCTTAACAATATTTATGCGTATTTATAAAATGTGTGTTTGTTATACAAGTTTAGTGCATGTTGGTCTCTGTTATCTGCCTTTTAACAAGCAACAATTGTATAAAAAAACTATTTTAGCTTGACTTAACAAAATTAAAGAAAGTAATAGTTTCAACTTGACTAAATGAAATTATAGATTGTACTTATAAAATTATAGGGTTTTTTACCTAACAAGCAAGCGTAAAAGGAAGAGGCTGTCAGACAAGTCCTTTTGAAACAACAATGAGCTAAACAGCACTGTCGATTTAAAATGCAGCACCAAAATACTCAGAGAAATTAAAAGAAAGGAAATTTGAAACCACACCAAATCTTTCTCTACAGTAGTGGCTTATCATTGTGATGCAGATTCCTAATCACATCCTATCTGGTATTGCCAACAAAACAGGTTTATTAATTGCTTGATGTTTGTATCACTCTAGCTTCTGTATCTAAAGTGATTTCCTGCTTAGACTATTCTACAGCTTATGGTCCAGATAACATACTTGTTATAGTCTTGCAGAAGACTATATCTCTGTAGCTGTAGTTTAAATTTTTATAACTTAAATAATAATAAATAGGGATAATAGATGTCATTTTCCAGCCTGCTAGAAAGCAGCACCTGTTGTCCCTATTTTCAAAAATTCTGGAGAGCAATCTGACTCATCTAACTACTGCGCCATTAATTGTCTTGAGTCTTTAATTAACAAACACTATCTCACATCTTGAACCTAATAAATTACTTTTTAATCATCAATATGAATTTCAATCTTCTTGTTCTACTGCTGGATTGTTAATAGTAATAACTGATAGGTTTTATCGTGCATCAGAAAGATGTGGAGAGGTTAAGGCTATCACTCTTAAATTTTCTAAACCCTTTGATAAAGTTTAGCATGCTGATCTTTTCCATAAGCTCTTTTCTTAAGGTGTATAAGGAAACATCTATAAGTTGAATCCTTACTTACTAACCTTTACTTACTAATCAGGTTTGAATCCTTTGACCATTCTTTTATGTGCTTTGACTTAGCACCTCTTCACTCTATCACCTTCCTCTTCGTTCTTTATCATTCTTTGTCTTCCCAAGACTGCTCTCTTAGATATAACTTCTGATTAAACTGACCATGCTCACTCTCTCTCTAATCCTCATCCAATATTGTTATAATTGGTGACTTAAATGCTCATCACACCAAATGGCTTGACTTTAAAGCCACTGACCCTGCTGGCACTAAAGCCTATAACTTCTGCATTTCTCAAACTTATACTCAAATAGTTAACTTTGTTACTCGTTTTCCAACAGCCCTAATCATTCAACTTCACTCTTTGATTTATGCCTTGTCTCTGAACCCAGCTTGGGTTCAGTTTCTTCTTTTTCTCCCTTAAGTGATTCTGACAACGCAATGATCTCTTTAAATATTTTATTTTATACTTCCTTTATGGACTCACCCTATCATCCCTATCACCCTATCATCACACTACATACTTTTTTTTATTATTTTTTTTATTTGCATTCACTCCCAACAAGGCTGCAAGCAACCACTATTAAGTTGGGAGTTACTAAAAAAAAAAAGAACAGAGTTATAGAGCAAGGAAACGGTTGACAGAAGACTTGAAAAGTTGAAAGTTGTATGAGTCAGGAAAACATGAAGATGGAAGAGAGTTCCAAAGGATTGAAGTGCGGGGAAAAAAACTAGATGAATAAAAGTTTTTAGAGCATGCAGGGACAGATACAGTAAACGAATGAGACTTAGCTGAATGACGAGTAAAACGAGAATGAATTTTAGTTGATGGAACTAGAGATGATAACTCCTTTGAGCAGTGACCATGATAGTATTTGTAGAAAAGAGAAAGAGATGCAACTTTACGACGATGGGAAAGAGGTTCAAGCTTAGCAGATAGTCCAGGTCCAACAATATTTACAATGCGTTTTTGGACCTTGTCTAAAAAAGAGAAAGTGAATGGTTAGAAGAACCAGCTCAAATATGACAACAGTATTCCATACAGGGACGAATAAGAGATTTGTAGAGGTAGAGAATGGAATCAGAAGTAA